GACACGAATTGTTCTCTTATTGCCCAGTATTTTTCACAACACCATGTTGCTGTCTTCAGTTCTAAAACGATGTAAGAACATTCCTATAATTTCATTTCAAGTAATATTTTCCCTGAACAGGGAAAAAAAAGCTATTTCTACTACCTTAATTTAAGAGTTTTTACATAATCATAAAATACTTTAATATATTTAATATATTAATTATTTCTGTGGAGATTTCAAAACCAGCTTTATTGTTTTGACCTTTGTCATAACCACTAGACTAGAAAGAAGCAGAATGGCAATTTAGTGGGAAATTTAAATGACATTTTAATGCATTTTTCCACTGTTTTCAAATATAGCAATTATTTCCTGGTATATCAATTGCTGTTTCCCAGTCTTTTCTAGAATACAATTGTAAATAAATGCATAAGTTTTTAGTGAGGCATCCTGTGTTATTGGCCATATTTTGCTACCTTTCTTTTTAGACTTACATATTTACTTGTATTAATCACTGTATAGAATGTGGAGAAGTGAAAAAAAAAAGTAAGTCCATTTCATGACAATTTTGGAGGCTGTAGAATTTCGTTTCCTCCTAATGTGCATGGAAAACACCTCTCTCTGTATTTCCACTACTTGCATCAAAATGTCCCTATTCAGAGCCAGTAGATCAGTGTTTCAGTACAAGATCTCTTTATATCCCTTAAAGAATCTGTTCTGTTCCTTGGAAACCTTACTGTCCAAAACATGCTCAAAAAAGATACACCTCAATGAAGCATTTGGGCCAGGTCCAAAACAACCTTTTGCTGATGAAATATGCTGATGAAATTTTGCCAACAATACTCCAACTAATAGTAACAGCAGAAAAGTTAGTTATGAACATCTCTCCACAGAATAAAATCTCACTGGTGAAAGAATATAACACTTGTTTAACAATGCTTGTTAAAAAAACACCGCAATTGGATGGATGCACTTACTGCTTTACTGAAATGGAATATTTCAGCTGCATAATCTCTCGAGTTGATAAACATTGCCTCATTTGAAGTGCAGGTCAGGAGAACTTTTAGTGATTCTCCCTATTTTGAAGGAGAACAAACTAAAATAAAAGAAAGGACCTTTTTTTCCTAATGTTTTACTTTGACCTGCAGTCTTGCTGCTCTTTGACATTTTCAGATTTTTCAAGACTTTCAGCTTTGCAATGAGCATTGACTTTGCCATGAGAACCTCCTTTCAACACAGCCTTTTATGTAAACACTATGTTTCCTGTTTTGCTTCAAAGCAAAATGATGAAAAAATCCTAGCAGTTATGCAGTCTTATCATAACAGGTAGTATATTCATGATGATCTCCTGCAACACAAATATTTTGTAGACAATAGCAAAGAGATGTGTTCGGTTCAGGCGCCAAGAGTTTGCGTTATAGAGCCAGGACTTTGTTCACCGGAACTGTTACTTATGTCATTAGTCCTCACACAATCCAAAGAAAGCCACATTTTTTAGAAAAAGAATGTCTTTTATTATGCCAACTGATACAGTTGGGTAAAGCAGATATTAGATAAAGCAGATTCATTTTCTGGTCGATGAACTACTCTTTGGGTCCAAAACATAGAATTTGAAGGTAATTGTAGTTAATTGCTCTGAATTGCACTTAACTGTTTTAATGGGTCAGACATTTGAGAGAAAAGTGTTTGCTATTTTGGGAGCAGAGGGTGATCTTGACCCCGCTAAGAGTATAAGAGGTGATGGAAGCTAAATGATCAGAGGAAACCGTAATTCCCACCAAAGATCAGTGAGACTTGAGATATGGGGAAACTCAGAGGTCTGTCTCGAATCCATCTGATATGGTGTTTGGTATCTGACAGAGTTATACAGTTTAGTTCTCTGGCCCATCTTTGATCTTGCAGTGTCAGGACTGCAGGACTAGAAACGGAGTAGTTGGTTTTGGGAATATAATTTTCCTAACGGTAACCGGGTATCGCCATTCTTTCTTAATTAGATAGCACATGGTGGTTGTTCGGTTTCGTCCAGAGTTCCTTAAGAGCAGTGAATGCATTGTGTGATGCCTATGACATTTCAGGATGCACGTGTGTAGCATCTGTGGATTTTGGTGGTTCTGGTGTAGCAGGCATTTATGATCAGGATTGTGGCGAGATTTGGATCTGATTTTCTAGAGCTATCTGGTTCTAGCCAGCATATGCTAGTCTGCCAGAAATTTGCTTTCAGTAATGGAACTAATGACGGCAAGTGCCATTAGAAGGGAAAAAAGGGTGTTTCTAGGAAAAATAATTTTCTTCCAACGTGAGTTGCAACTTGTTAACATTTTCCAGTATACATTTCTTGCACACTGTGGTACATGATACCCAGTAGGGGATTTTCTCTCTGTATTGTAGTAAGTTTGTACAAGGTTTAGGTGGCTTCTTCAAATATGCGAGCCTAGAGGAGTGTCACTGTTGGATGAACATCATCTGCAGCTTTGTGAGGGCGTGTCACGAATATTCTCCTCAGAGCAAATGAGGTGATGTCTGTGGGCTGGTTGTATATCAGTTTTTCTAGTGTGTTTTGGATAGCTGATGGTTTGTGGAAGGAGGTGTGTTGGTCTGTGGATTTTCTGCATATGGTAGTTTGAAGGTTGCTATTTTTTATGTTGACCTTGGTGTCTAGAAAGTTGATGCTGATGTAAGTTTTCCAGAGATAGTTTGATGGACAAGTCTGGTTGCTGGATTCGTGGCAGAAATCAATGAGGGAATCCAAGATTTCAGTCCAGATGTCATCTATGTATCCTAGCGTATCCTAGGAAACTATGCTGGTTTGGTGGGAAGGTTAAAGTCTTTTTCTTGAGGTGACTCCTGAAGAGCCTGATATCCTGGTGCTTGGATACAAGTACTTGGGTGCTTGTAGTTGCATCTGTGATTTGATGAGGATGAAACTGCTGTGGGTGAAGATGAAATAGATGGGGTTGATATATGTAAGATGCCAGTTAGAAGTCTGGTATCACTTAGACATGTAGGTCAGGTGTAGTGCTTCCCTGGTGTGGCACGGTGATGATAATATGAAAGATGGTGCCAGTAAGAAGATAGTTTATGAAGCAGTGATCCTAGAGGAAGCACATTTTTTCTGAAGAAAGCTGCTTTCATAGATAACAAGTGTTTAAAGGTGGTGTCTGCAGATCCTCATTGCTCTCCAGTAAAGTCTCCGTGGGTTTCCTTCTGTGAAAATCTAGAAGAGAGATTAAAGTCTTAAAGTGACAAAGAAGGGTTTTACACAATTTTTTCCTTCTTCATTAGGAAGAGATTTGAGCTCCAAGGTGAAAAGAGCAGAGGTCTTTCTTGAGTTCCTTCTCATATGAAACCATCGAAAATCATCTGCTAGCATCACTGATGTCACCCTAACTTCTCCTTTATCAATTGCTTAACTGATGACTGGATTTTAAAAACTATGCAGACTCTTAAAAAAACCCAGTTCTATCTTTCAAAACATTATTTCACTGTTATTCCTCTCCTGAAAAAAATTGCTATTGTAGACCAATGTAGAATTCATTCAGGGGTGTCCAGCTCAGTATAATGTGAGATTATTTTCATGGTTATTTTACAGGGGATGGTGGCTAGTTTACCTCTGTCTTGTTTTCAGAGAAGTTGAGACACACTTAGAGAAGCAATTCCTCCAATAATCTACAGACCACAATGCTACCAATGTTTCTGAGCATAAATGTAATCATTTGGAAAGAAGAGATAGGGGTAGGCATTCAAGGTTGGGGTATTGCTCCATGACTTCCTGGTGGGTTATGTTGGGAAGCAGGTGCTCTCACCATCATTTCTCAGATGTGTCTCATTGTTGGTGAAGTAATTGTTGTTGCATTATTTGGGTCCAGTGTTAAATGATATCAGCTTATTTTGATAGTGATCTGTTGCATGGTGGTTTGGTGTATTTCAGGCAGTTTCCTTTAATTTGTTGGAGCATGTAATCATGTCTGGTTCAGTCAACCTCTTTGGGAAGTAGAGTTTCTCAGTTTCTTAGCTTAGGCAGACCTAAACAGGATATTCTGTCATGTATCAAGGGTGAAAAATAAGACTTTTCTACAGTCAAAATGACCTACATGGATCTGTGTCATTCTCCCATGTTCTTCAAAACCTGAGCTGGACTTCAACTCGCTTTCTTTTATGTCTGGATGACCTCCCCACTGCATTTTACAGAGTTGCAGACCTAATATACCTGAACTGCCTTTGCAACAAGCACTTTCATAGGATTTAGGAGAATGCTTTCCACAAAGTGGAAAGGTGGATCTACCAAAGAGATAGTCACATCTCCAAATGTGTAGATAACCTGATGAGCAGAAGTGCAGAGGGAGGAAAGACCACATGGAGGCAGGAAAGACTATAAAAACATTCTAAATGAAAGGGGAAACTTGACTTAGATGGGACCCTCAGAGGACGGTGAGAAAGTGCCTACAAATTGTAGCATGACTTTACGAGGAAGGGGTTTCGGTATTGAACGCAAGCCGAGGCGTGAGGAGTGCAGGAAGGTGTTGCTCCTAACCAAGGCTTTGGAGATGCCACTGTGGCAGACCGGCTGTGTGAGGGGAGACGGGCAGGCTCTGGCCTGGTTCCAGCAGGAGCCAGTTGCCAGCACAGCTTTCCACCATTTCTTTTTATACACCAGTCCTTTAACAAGACTCTGAACTATGTGTCCTGTTTTGGGCAGCACAAGTCAACACCATTTGTGCTCATTTTAGCCTGGCCTGAGCGAGGACTGAGCTAAGGCAGGGAGGCGCTGACAGGTCCCCTGAGGATCTGAACCCACCAAGGGGGGATGACCAGGAGGGCCCACCGGGGAGGTGTGGGCCGCTTCCACGTACCCCATGGATTCTGGGGGGAAAGAACCCTCTAGACACGACCACGGGCTGAGAGAGGCCTCGGCCACCGGGTGTGATACAAGCCGGAGCCGGGGACAAGCATGAGGAGGGGGCAAGGGGACGGCGGGCTGGCGGGAGCCGGCGGCGGCGGGGCTGCCCGTACTGTGTTCACTCATGGTGGAGGGGAGGCGAAGAGCTCCGCTCGCCGAGCAGGAGGAGGAGGAGAAGGAGGAGCGGGGCACACCGCGATCGCTGGGCGCCCGGCCCGGCGCTGGAGACCGGGGCTCCGGGGGCAGGGGCGG